ACTCACTCAATTGTTAGTAAGCTTCAGTGTAAGTCAATCCACATTTAATAGGTTTAAACAATGTTATAAACTAAATCCTCTTAAAACCATTTTCGTCATCTGTACTTTTTGAAAAACCATGCAACGGAACTCAAGCTAGAGTCGCAAACCCATTTTGGTCGGCTAAAACGAGTTTTATTTTCATTGGCACTCCACCAATACATAAACCATAAATCCACCCATCATCACTACAAACATACCCATATATATTTGTAGTGACTAAGTGATTTACCATTTATTTCTTTGTTTCCGAGTTTTATTTCCATTGGCACTCCACCAATAATTGGACAATACATGCACCCGACATCATTACAGCATAGCGTATATGCCTGTAACTAAAAAGTGACTTACAACTAATTGTTTTATCCGAGTTTTATTTCCATTGGCACTCCATCAATAAATGGACAATACATGCACCCAACATCATTACAGCATAGCGTATATGTCTGTAACTACAAAGTGACTTACAGCTTATTGTTTTATCCGAGTTTTATTTCCATTGGCACTCCACCAATAAATAGTCAATAAATGCACCCGACATCATTACAACATAACATATATGCTTGTAACTACAAAGTGACTTACAATTTATTGCTTCATTCCGAGTTTTATTTCCATTGGCACTCCACCAATAACAGAAATGATAAATACACCCGACATCATTATAAAGATATCCCCGTATGCTTATAACTACAAAGTGATTTACATTTCATGATTTCCTTTCGAGTCTTATTTCCATTGGTACTCCCCCAATAAGTAAACCATAAAATCACTTCTAACCATTATCAACATATATGTTCATAATGATTAAGTGATTCACATTTTATCCATCATTCATAACAGAAAATCCACACATTTTCCAACACAATGCATAAATTAAAGACTTATCCTTACCTCGGTGAGTGTTGGGTTTGGTTTTTGGTGACTTCGTAAGTTCCACCGGCACCACCTCCAAACTTAGGATCTTTCCTCATTCCCACCACATAACACAATGTTAGTCATTCATTCCAAATAACAAATAAATAACTTATATTGCATCATTTAAATATACAAGATATTTATCATATTCTCAATGGTTCTATACTACTTTCATTAAGAGTTTTCAACCATCTAAAACATACATATCATCTCATATTTTAACATTGTAAAGCAACTCATCTTCTACCTCTAGCATTTTACCCATTTTTCCACTCTATCCACATTTTCTCTGTCTAGGGTTTGGGGTTTCCATGAGTCAACCCACAAACCCTTTCCATTCTTGGAATACTAACTCAAAACCAAGAGTTTACAAGGTACAAGGGACATAAAACGATCCATAACTCGAAAGAGAGAGTTTCCATGGTTTTACCCACTTTGAGAAGATATCCATAATACCAAAAATGGGTTCTCAAGAGAAGAAGAGAGTTAGGATAGAGAGTTTTACCTCTTCTCAAGCTCTTGAACAAGAATCAAAGCTCTTAGACCTTGGGAATGCTCTCTTCTCTCACCTCTCTCCAATTCTTAACCTAAAAATGTGTTTGGGGTTTCCCTCATTTAATGTTCTCGTCGGGTTCTATCCTAAGCGAGCTTTCTCTCGCTCAGGCGAGAAAATCCCGCCCATTTTAAAAACTCAACTCTGAGCCCTCTCGCTCAAGCGAGAATCTCACAGTGTCAACAGCCCCAAAGTGTCATTTCTCGCCCAAGCGAGACAACTCTCGCTCAGGCGAGAATCCTCCAGTATAGCCCAGGATTTCACCGTCCCAGGTGAACCTCTCTCGCCCAAGAGAGAATCTCTCGCTCAAGCGAGGATCCGAGGACTAATACTATAATTTTAAAGAATTAAAATTTGGGGTGTACAAGTTTGGCCACATTTGTTGCACAAAGAGGGAGTGTTCAACCGTGACCCTCCAGCAGTGGCATAAGTCCTCGACCCATGCGAAGGATAACTCCGATTACTCGTCGGAGGGGAGTAAGGCTTTCTTTCCTCATGAAACGCCTTCCGTTTCCCTTTTCCGTGTGGGAAGTTTCGTTGAGGCCCAAAGTGTTTGGGAGGAACCACCATAGATGTCGCCCCTTCATCAGCTGCCAAATCATCTTCACACACCCTACACTTGTTCACCAGGGTAGGGAAATCAGCAATCTCTTGGTGCCCAAACATACTTTTCAACTTGGGCTTCAAACCCGATTCGAACTTGGCACATTTGGACCTTCCGTCCATTTCCAACTCGACGTAGGGGCATAACCGGGCCAACTCTTCAAACTTGGCCGCATAGTCCCCTACTGACATGTACCCCTGCTCCAGCTTCAGAAATTCCATCTCCTTCTTCCTTTTCAAATAAGCGGGAAAGTACTTGTGTAAGAACTTCTCCTTGAAGGTACCCCAAGATATCAGTCTCCCTCCGGCTTCCATATATCGCCGAGTATACTCCCACCAGTTCTCAGCCTCGGTCACCAGCATGTAAGTAGCATTGGCTAGCTTCTGAGCCTCAGTGCAGTTCATGGCTCTGAAGATCCGCTCTATCCCTTGGATCCATTCGATGGCAGCATCAGTAGCAAATCCCCCTTGGAACTGAGTGGGGTTCCTCCTACAGAACTCATCTAAGCCCCGATATTCTGCCGGTCCAGGTGGAACTAGTGGATGTGGATTCGGGCTTGGTGTCAGATTCTGGTTCAGATTCTGCAAGTTCTCGTTGACCTGTTGTAGTGCCGCCACCATTTGAGCTAATAATTCATTCGGGACGTTCTGAGCCGCCCCTCTTCCTCTTCCTGCCATGAGTACATGTACTCACTCACTTGTTAGTAAGCGAATTTATTAACTGATTATGTGTTACATTGTTTACCTTGATCATTTCCGGACTATTTATCATGCAATATCCCTAAAGACTTATCCTTCATTTCGAGTTTTATTTCCATTGGCACTCAACCAATACATAAACCTTAAATCCACTTCTCATCATTATCAACGTACCCATATATGTTCATAATGACTAAATAATTCACATTTTATTCATTATCCATAACAGAAAATCCACACATTTTCTAACACCGTGCGTAAGTTAAAGACTTATCCTTACCTCGGTGAGTGTTGGGTTTGGTTTTTGGCGACTTCGTAAGTTCCACCAGCACCGCCTCCAAATTTAGGATCTTTCCTCATTCCCACCACATAACACAATGTTAGTCATTCATTCCAAATAACAAATAAATAACTTATATTGCATTATTCAACCATACAAGATATTTATCATATTTTCAATGATTCTATACTACTTCCATTATGAGTTTACAACCATCTAAAACATACATATCATCTCATATTTTAACATTATAAAGCAATTCATCTTCTACCTCTAGCATTTTACCCATTTTCCCACTCTAACCACATTTTCTATCCCTAGGGTTTTGGGGTTTTTATGAGTCAACCCACATACCCTTTCCATTCTTGGAATACTAACTCAAAACCAAGAGTTTACAAGGTACAAGCGACATAAAACGAACCATATCTCGAAAGAGAGAGTTTCCATGGATTTACACATTTTGAGAAGAGATCCATAATACCAAAAAATGGGTTCTTAAGAGAAGAAGAGAGTTAGAATAGAGGGTTTTACCTCTTCTCAAGCTCTTGAACAAGAATCAAAGCTCCTAGACCTTGGGAATGCTCTCTTCACTCACCTCTCTTCAATTCTTAACCTAAAAATGTATTTGGGGTTTTTCTCATTTAATGTTCTCGTCGGGTTCTCGCTTAAGCAAGTTTGCTCTCGCTCAAGCGAGAAAATCCCGCCCATTTTAAACACTCATCTCTGACCCTCTCGCTCAAGCGAGAATTTCATAGTCTCAACAGCCCCAAATTACCATTTCTCGCCCAGGCGAGACAACTCTCTCTCAGGCGAGACAACTCTCTCTCAGGCGAGAATCCTCTGGTATAGTCCAGGATTTCACCCTCCCAGGTGAACCTCTCTCGCCCAAGCGAGAATCTCTCGCTCAAGCGAGTTTCCCAGGACTGATACTATAATTTTGAAGACTTAAAATTTAGGGTGTTACATTTTTCCATGGCGATGTGACAAATTCGACCGAATCAAAAATAGTCCATGCCCAATCCAGGTCGTACGTGGCCCGATGCCGGCTGGTCCAACGGAACCAAGGCACATTTGGCGTGCAGCAAGTGCTTGGCTTGTTCCTCACCATCCAACTCAAAATTCTTGATGCCTTTGTCCCGTTAAGATAAGATAAGTGTCGGAAAAGCGTGTGTTTGTGTATGAAACCGAACGAGGGTTGTGTGTGATTAGTCGGTGCAAGGTCCACGATAGGCACATGTGTCCTAGGTGCATTCCCTATTTCGGTGGGAGCATGGTAAGGCGCCGACCCCTTCATCAAATGCGACAAAATTTGGAGGCCAATTTCGAACTGTTTAGCCATGGTTACCTGCAAAAGAAGAGCTCCTGAAAAACCGAAAATGCAAGAGGAAGGAGAAGAAGAAAATCCTAAAACAGCCCCAAAAAGGGGGAAAATGAAAATGTCCTTCTCCAAAGCTGAAAAATAAAATGTCTAATGTAAAAATTATGAGTGGAAACGAAATCCTAAGCTTATAT